ACATAATACAATGGAACATTAAATATTATAATAAAAATCTTTTATAAAATTTACCTCCTTGAAAAATGTTGAAATTGTGTATAAAAATAGGAAAATATATACCTTGAGTGTGTGGCGGATGTAATCGTTTCAGTTTAGGTTCAACTGGAATAGTATTCAGTTCTGATGAGAAAAACAATAGTTATTGAAAATATTGATTCAGTAAGCAGGAATATTTTTTAATAAATAGGAATGTACAGAAGCTGATGAAGCAGTGCAGAAAGCTGAAAGGTGTACAGGAAGATAAAAAAGAGTTCAGCAATCCACAAAGCAAATGGAAAAGCTGAGAAGTGCCAAAAAAAATTAAAAAAAACAAAACAAATGAAGATAAAATAGTGTTAAAAGCTACCTAAGTACGAAATGCAGAAGGCTAAGAAAGAGGTACAAAAACATGAAAGAATACAAAACGTTAATAAAGGAGTGCAGAAATCTACAAAATGTATAAAACGATTCTCGAAAGCCCAGAAATAGTGCAGCATGCTGAAGAGTAAAGAATTCTTGGAAATTAGTTGAGTGAGGTGTGTAAAAATTTAAAAAGTGAGAAATTTTGAAATTAGTATAGTGAATTAATCTGAGTAACTCCGGGGGAGCCAGCTCTCCCCGATGGGGGGGGGGGGGCACCCCTGGTATACCGTTTATAATAATAAATTCTATTTATTTAGCGCCAGTTAAAACTATATGCTTGTCACTGGCGCTCAAACTGTTAAAACCGATTTTAGTTTTGTATAGTAGGAAATTCTCGACAGCATAAATGAGTCTGAGCTTAAGTTGAAGAACTTTTAGAGTCGGATCAGCAAACGAACCTAGTATATCTGTAAGTGTTTGACTGTGCCTACATGGCTTGTTTAGATGATAGTGAAGGTATTAGATAGAGTCATAAAGAATGACGGGAATACATAAAGATAATCAAATGAAAGAGCGCAGAAATACAGATAACAAGTCCACAAGCTGATAAAGAGTGAACAAAGCTTAAATAGCAAAGGAGTTGGGAAAAAGATAAAATAGTGCAAAAAGCTGAGTAATTAAGATTGAAGATAGCTGGGAAAAATGAAGAATATCAAAAGTGAATGAATCTGATTAGAAATTTGAATTGGTAATTATTCGAGGAAAGACGTGATTATGCCCCTTACATAATAGTTTGAAGCTGTATAATAGTTTGAAGCTTTTAAAATTGATAAGCCAAATTATTATTTTTTGTAACTGATAAATTGATGCTTTTGTGCAGTTCTGTTTGTTTTTTCTGAAGTCTGAAACAGGACCCTTTTGCAAATAGTGTTTGAATATTTGTATTGATGTTATGTAATGTTGGCCTATGCCTATTAATACTTGTTATATTTTATTAGTTAAGTCTAAAACAAGACCATTAAAAAATAGACTTATTCTGTACAAATATGTTTTTAAATAAAAAATAAATTAAATAATACTGAAAATGATTTACCTGCATGTAGATTTTTAAGGCACGTATTTTGTTTTAACTTTTCCATAAATGTCTCCATCATATCTTCAGAAATGATATTCCTCTCTTCCAGGTCAGAAATCAAGTCCCAGTTATCTGTATAGTCCTTTTTTGTATTATTATACAGTCCACTGACAATTTCTAGCTGTTTTTTGGACATTTTCAATCCCAATTTGATCAGTTTTTGTCGGTGAGTTGTGAATTTTGAAATTATAGTATTCCTAATATCATCAATATCTGGGCACGATGTTACTTTATCTTTAATTTCTTTTTGTACAGCAAATTGATGAGTTACATTTATAGTATCATACAGGATTTCTAGATCATTTGGAGCCAAATTATCAGAATCACACAACATATATAATAACTCTATCATCTTAGAAGCACCAAATAATTTTGAAGTATTTTTCAAATGGTCCCTGTATAAAACTTTCATCATGCTGATGCATTCACGTTCATCAAACCAGTTGGAAACGTCCATCAACAACTGTCTAAAAACGTCACCGGAAAGCTCTAAAAATCAATTTATTTAAATGGTTAAAATGTAGTAAATGAACATATATAATAACTACATTAACTGACTTCGAGCTGAATTTAAGCATTCTTCTACTGAAATGATTTTAATAATAATAATAACAACAACAATGACAATACTAACAGTAATAGGCCTAATAATGTAACAATAATAATTATGTGATATACAGTATATAAAGCATTGCACTCTAAAGAATGATAAAGAAATAAAAATAACAACAACAACAACAACAATAATGATAACAAAAATATTGTTAGATTGGATTTCTTTGATGTGAGATGCTCACCGTAACGCCTCTAACTTATTTAAGTGGCGCTGAGGGCTGGCGGGCTATTTCCGGCCCTTTAATAGCCCCCTTGTCTACTGGTATCTTCTCTTAAGGCCTGTTTACACTTCAACGATAACGTTAACGATAAAAGAGTTAAAAAGCGATTGTTCATATAGAAAACAAACGAAATAAGAGAAGTTTTTCCACTAGGACGATTCCATAAGGATTTATCGTGTATACAATAACAAAATATTTTAGCAAATCAAATCAGATGTCGTCATAATCTTGGACAAACGATAAAATCGTTGCTACTACGACGATTTTCATATTTTTCCATGATTACGACATCATCTGATTTGATTTGTCAAAATATGTTGTTATTGCATAACTGATAAATCGTTATCGAATCGTTCTAATGTAAAAACTTCTCTTATTTCTTTTATTTTCTATATGATCAATTGCTTTTACCATTTTTTATCGTTATCGTTATCGTTGAAGTATAAACAGGTCCTTAATCTGTGTAATACTTTCAGCTTCCACGACGTGGGCAGGAAGAGCGTTCCATTCGTTTACCACCCATTGGGAAAAATAGTGCTTCCTACAATTTAGTCGAGTATAAGGCTTTTTTAACTTCCAACCATGACCTCTAGTAACAGAATCAATTGCCAAATCGAAAAACAGATCCTTATCAACATCCTCTTTTCCATTTAATATTTGATATGTCTCAATTAAGTCCCCCCTGATTCATCTTGATTCTAAAGTAGTTAAATTAATGGCTATGAGACGTTCTTTATAATTTACATTTTTCATACATTTAGGAATTTTAGTTGCCCGTCTTTGGACCTTTTCTAATAAATTTATATCTTTCCTTAATTGTGGTGACCAAGCCTGGATTGAAAATTCAAGGTGTGGACGAACTAATCCGATACACAGACACCTAATGTTTGCAACTGGTTTATATTCAAAGGACCTTATACTGCCGAGTACCCGATTTGCAGTTTTGACAGCAGCACACACACACATACACACACACCCACACACACACAAAACAGGTCCACAAAATGAACTGGTGAACTGGACAGACTTATGGACGAATATATTTGAACAACTAAAAAATCTGACGGTTCAGTACACACACAGTAGGTACCATACGTTTAGCCAACTGAGCTAAGCTACCCTTTTGAATTCTTAATTAATTTGTCAGGTCTAAAACAATCAAGTATGATATTTTGACTGAATGTTTATCCACCTCTCATGTGAGAGAACTACAAGATTATATAGTCTCCAATTCGAAATACATTCAACAAATGTAAAATAATACTGACATGTTATGCTTGACAAGCGTCTGGTTTTATCAGGGTAAATATGCTTTGCTTTAAAGCACAAAAATAACAGTACAAAAATTATTATAATTAATTAGTATCGCTCTCAATATTTCCAATTAATTAAATTGTAGAAATTTTCAAACATCGTAGCTACAGTTCAACACGTTAAAGAATACTGGTTTGGCTCTTTTGCAGGCAGGTCTACCTTTTGGGGAAAATATAAGGTAATAGATAATTTAAAAATATGTTTACCATGAGAGTCACCCATCTTTCTTTAGCTTACAGTTTGCTAATCCGTTGATTTATAAAACAAGTCCTACAAAAAATAAGAGAAGGAAATGTGACTGTTTTAAATATCAACTTCAAACGTTGATCATCTATCTATTAGGCCTACATAACATTAAAAACAGTAGAAGTACTTGAATTGTAATTGGTTTGTGTGTAGGAAAGGTAGCAGCTTCGAAATATACAGCATATTATGCTCATACATAAACGAATGTTACATTTATGCAATCATACGTTGCCTTTCTATATGCTTATGAAAACTACTTTGTGGTATTTAGGCCTACATTTCATTATGTTACATTTTGTTATTTCTTTGTACGGATATTTTTGTTAGGTCTATATAGCCTGCTCCGTTTCATTTGTATACCAGGTTTTGAACAAGTGGAATAAACTGAATTGAATAATTGAATCGGTGCATTCATGATACAGGCGCGGATTCATACCTTCGCCCAGGTCAGGGTGAGAAATAAAAAATAAAATGTTGACCATTTTCCAACAATCATACTTACTTTCCTTGACACTTATTTTGAACATTAGCATATGACAATGTTTAAATCCACACTAGCCTATATCTTACACTTTTACACTGATTGTACTGTAGGCCCTATCAGAGAGGTACATTCCCAAAACATTATGGTCTTCCACTTCAAATAGCGCCTAATACAGTGCATAACAGAAGTTCCATAACCAATGGGTACTACTTACTAATAATAATAATTGTCCAGTTATATATCGCATATTGTAGAGACCTCTGTGCGCTAGCATTATTAGGCCTACACCCGGTCATTGGGTCAGGCACATGGAACACATACTCAGGTCCAGTGGCGTAGGTATGTTCAGTGCACAATACTGGGGCCAACGGGCTATTGGGGGCCAGTTCGATAGGTCTAATGATATAAAAATATAAATTAAAAAAACAACCCTATTTAAACTTTAAAAGGACCCTTCAATAATATTAAGCAATTAGTAGAGCTCCGCATAGTACACTATAGGAAAATTATTATACGAAGGTTAGATTTAATGCTTGAAAAAATTTCCTGAGGGCCTGCAAGGCCCAAAGGAAATTTTTGAATGCATTAAATCTAACCTAAGTATAATGCATGCTTTACTAATTGCTTTATAAGTCAATCGCCGTCTTTTATTAAAATTTTAGTTTTTTTATAACCAACTGTTGTAGCAGTCATCGGTTGCTATAGTGATATGATCAGTATACGTGTGCGTATTTACATTTAGCTGTGCATATATATTCTTTAATATAAGTCAGTCGTATGAGAGAAGTATCTGGGAGTGAGATATGCCCCTTTATCGTATAGAACTCTGTGGTGTAGCCTACTGATATGACCTACTGATATGACAAGATAGCCGTTAACACAGTTAAATTTACCCTTCTTCTGTATTTACCTTTCTTTGATTATATATATATATATATATTATATATATATATATATATTCATATATATATGTATATATATATATACATGAATATATATAATCTAGATGTGTATAAGAGACAGATATAATATATATATATGAATATATATATATAATATATATATATATGAATATATATATATATATGTATATATATATAGATATATATATGATATTGAAGGAAGTTGGACCTGTTCAACCATGAAGCCTTCGTGGTCTAGTGGTTATGACGCTCGCCTTGTCAGCGAGAGGTCGCAGGTTCGAATACCGTCGGAGGAATTTTATTACACAATTTTTCATAGGACCTCATTCGTTGAAAAGCTACAGGGTAGCCTACGAAGTTCCATCATGTCCTTATTAAACACTGTATATGTCTTTGATGATATATATATATATATATATATGATATTGAAGGGAGTTAGCCGTTAACACTGTTGAATAAATATAATATAAATCAAAGTACATCAAAGTACATATACAGTGTTTAATAAGGACATGATGGAACATCGTAGGCTACCCTGTAGCTTCTCAACGAATAAAGTCCTATAAAAGTCATTGTGTAATACAATGCCTCCGACGGGATTCAAACCTGCGACCTCTCGCTGACAAGGCGAGCGTCATAACCACTAGACCACGAAGGCTTCATGGTTTAACGGGTCCAAATAACCGTCGGGAACATTGTATTACACAATGCTACGCCTCAAGAGGGCGTTCAGCCAGATAAATCTGGCAATACGGCTAAAGATACTGTCGTATATAATATATGATATTGAAGGGAGTTAACCGTTAACACTCTTGAATAAATATAATATAAATAATCAAAGGTACATATACAGTGTTTAAATAAGGACATGATGGAACATCGTAGGCTACCCTGTAGCTTCTCAACGAATAAAGTCCTATAAAAGTCATTGTGTAATAGAATGCCTCCGACGGGATTCGAACCTGCGACCTCTCGCTGACAAGGCGAGCGTCATAATCACTAGACCACGAAGGCTTCATGGTGGAACAGGTCCAAATAACCGTCGGGGACATTGTATTACACAATGCTACGCCTCAAGAGGACGTTCGGCCAGATAAATCTGGCAATACGGCTAGAAATACTGTCGTATATTATATATGATA